GGAAGAGGCCAGAGGGTGGAGAGTGATCAGCAGGTTCTCTGTCTCCTGCAAAAGCGATCCGTCGGTTTTACGTGACCGGATGTCTGCGTTCGGGAACGGATGAATGGAAGCGGGCAGAGCGGGACGATGCCGTTCGCTTTGATCTACGTAATTAAACGGTGCAATTTCCACACAATGTCGAATATCCATTGCCGAGAACGTATCTGCAGATTGGATTGCCTTTCGCCGATTTTTCCTCGATTTTCCCTCGATTTTTCCACCATTTTTCCAGCGTTTTTCCTCGATTCCTCGTCGCCGGGCTGCCTCGGAATTTCTTCCACGTCCGACGCGAATTCCCAGCCGGGGATTCGAAATTTTGGCGAACGGTGTCGTTTTCGTTCCATTCTCGGATTAAAAGCGTAAAGTTTCGCGGTCGGTTGTTAGTCGAATCGGGAGCACAGACGTCGTTATAAACCATCGAGCTGCTGGTCGAGCACGAACGACAGGGGTGTAATTATCTTTACATCTGCTAGTTCCTTCCTAATCACCAGCTCTCCTTTCATTACGAACCGTCCCGATTATCGCGGCGAATAATCGCGCTAATTCTATCGAAGCACACACCCTCGCGCGACTACTACTTTGTTTCCAACTCGCTCGATGCGACATCTGCGGGGGTATATTCTCGAACGGACGCAAGGGAGAAAAAGGGACAAAATTGTTAGGCGTTCGTTCCACTGGAAGTTAGCCACGATTCGTGCGGTCAGAAGTCGATTGCTAATTTTAATTATCGTTAGGTCTCGCGATATTTCTCTCCTGCCTTGCTGCGCCACTGCGCGGCGCACCCCCTTTTCCCAACGGGAAACCAGAGATCTCGGCAGGATAATTACGTTAAAGCGTTTCTCGAAAAAACGAGAGCGCGTCTGCGAGTGGAAAAAAGAGAGAGACGGATTAAAGGTGACCGAATGGCTACGTTTACCGCTTTTAACCCGACCCTGTCTCTGAAAGCACAATCTCGAGGAGCAAGGGGGTTGGCTGTTAACCAACTCGAAGCACGCGATCCGCCCATTGGCGCCTAAGAATCGCACGACGTCGAGTTATCGAGCGGAGAAACGCGACAGCCGTGATCGGTCGCGATTAAAGTTTCACTTTCTCTGCTCCCTCTTCCTCGCTCGCTCGCCTACGAGTTGCAAAATCACCCCCTGAATTTCTTTTTCCCTAATTTTATTAAGACCTCGTCCCTCGGTTACTCGCGCTCGTTCTAATCCTATATTCGCTCGATCATTGCAGAAAACCGGAGCGAGGATCAAGATCTACTCGCACTGCTGTCCTCATAGCACCGACCGGCTGATCAGCATCTGTGGCAAGCCGAACACGTGCATCGAGTGCATCCGCGAGCTGATTGCTACCATTAAAACAGTAAGTATATTGTTTCGTCCAACAGTGGAACGACTGACCTCTATTGCACACCCCAACACACGGATAACAGTGCTTGGTCCCTTAACGACCGTGTCCGTGTTAACGCGACGTCGATTTTACGTAAAATCACCTCTCTGTTACCCGAAACTGTAATTTTTGAAAGCCAGAATTCCCGTCTGACAGAGATACCGAGATCGGTTCTCGATCTGTAAATTCGTAGGAGTGATTTTTAACACCACGTTGAACTATTTCAGTCGCCTCTGAAGGGTGTGAACAACCCCTATGATCCGCACAACTTCGACGACTACTATGCGGATGATTACGGCGGCTATGGGACAGGAGAAAGTGGCCAGGGGAAAGGTGGCGGCTTCGGAGGACCTGGAGGCCGAGGTGGCGGCGGTGGCGGTGGCGGTGGCGGCGGTGGAGGCATGCTACCGCGACGCGACAACCGTTCTGACATGAGTCGCGGGTTCCCGTTGGCACCGAGGGGTGGACCGCGTGGAGGAGGCAGCGGAGGTGGTGGAATGTCTGGCGGACCACCGGATCGTGGCTACGGAGGCAATTCTCGCGGAGGAGGCGGCGCTGGCGGCGGATACGAAGGCGGACGAGGTGGCTACGGAGGCAACAGGGGTGGTCCGCCACCGTACGCAGCTGGAAATTACAATGGTAAGAGGAGTCGGACCGCGGAAGAGCCGATAACTGTGTCTCGATATGGTTGTAAAAGATGGTTCGAGTCATTTGCGAAACGAAGAAGAATATGAATGTTGTAGACGGAGAGAGAGAGAGAGAGAGAGAGAGAGAGAATTTGATCCGACAAAATTGTGAATCTTTGGGTATAGATGTTTGGTAGAAATGCACAAACGCGAGTGGCGAGGTGTGAAGAAGCACCGTTTGCCTCGGCTTAAAGAAGATCTATCATTGTAATATCGTATTTCTCGCAGGTGATGGATGGGGTATGCAAGGAGGCGCGCCAAACGGTTTGGGTGGCGGAGCTAACTCGGGAATGAGCGGCCCACCCATAGGTGGCAACAATGAAGGAAATCAGGGCAACATGAGTGGAAACAAGACCACCACTCAAGTCACCATTCCCAAGGACGTGAGTACAATCTTTTCGACGTATCGACCCGTTTCCGTGGTCTTTATGGAATTTCATTATTGCGGTGGGTGACGTCATTTCTAATGGTATCTTCGTCAACAGCTCGCTGGAGCCATTATCGGCAAGGGAGGCGCCAGGATCCGGAAAGTCAGATCAGATAGCGGTGCCGGGATCACTATAAACGAGCCGTCGCTTGGGAGTAACGATCGCATTATCACCATAACCGGGTTACCCAATCAGATACAAATGGCTCAGTACCTGCTTCAGCAGAGGTAATTGTTACACACGTTTGTTTCTCTAACTCGTTACCTTCGCTCCATTTGCGCATACTCATGGCATCGCTCTAAGCATTTTAACATTATAACAAGTACTTTAACGTCAATTAACAAGTAATTAACACCTTCCATGCGAGGCGTCTTGTAATTCCATTGCGTGTCGTACCACTTGGCATCATCGAACCATTGTTTGTAACGTGTTTCCATTAATGCTGCGTCTCTGTTCGTAATCGTAAAATATGGAGTAATCCGTTTGTAAGGGTAACGTTCGAACGACACCCTGGCGCGTTAAACGCGCGCCTCGAAGCCTTTGCAAAGTGGGTAGGAGCTTCTGTACAAACACGCCTTTATCTCGCCACAATAGATAGCTTATAATGCGCAAACACGTGTTCCATATCTACCGTGAGTATCGATTTCGCCACTCTTCCACGGTGAAACGCGATTCTCCACTGTTATCTCTTTAACGCGCCACTTTCTCTCGAGTAAAACCAAAGCAAAAGGGAAACGAGGAAAGAAAGGAAAAAGAAAAGAAAAGCCAATTAATGTCGTTGCATCTCGCATCCAGTCGGATAACTATCGCGTATTCTTCTTTGAACGTTGAGAAATTGCGAGGGTTCGTTAAGGAGAAGGAAGGAGAAAACTTGTGCGAACGAGTTCATAAATCGCGTTCGAGAGTCGTGTGCCAGAAATTGCGTAATGGAACGCAGAGTGGTATCCCGAACGATAACTAGCCTCTCCACGTGCTCACGCTGCGACCACGCATTAACATCATCCTTGGCTTATCACACCGCGAGCGATCACACGCGTCCAGGAGCCACTGGTATTTTCGGCAGGTAAACGCTTCTGGTCGCATCGAATCACCTGATCCCGCACGAGGAACTAACCAAACGCTCCGACTAACCAAAACGAGAAGAAAAACGTGAGAAAAGTTGCCATGGGGCAAATATGTAATCGTCGCGAAGGTGAAGGAAATCGAAGGTGGACCGTGACGGAGTTGGAGAACAACGCGTCTGCTACTGCTACTACTTAAAGCTCAACGAGTTAAACAAGGGGGAAATCGAGCGCCGTTGCATGGAAGACTAGTGATTTTGTTGTTCTACTTTCGATATAACAAGGAATCACTAATCATCCTACAAAGGCGCTCGCGATCGTCGGCTTCTCTTCCCGAGAATCTCCTGCTTTTTTGGAACTAACATCAAATCCCGCTGCGGCCTCCAGTCGTTCACGCGACCATCTCTCGCGTTGCGTAACCCGTACTTCTCTTCTTAGCTTGTCGAAGAATCTCCTGTATTTCGCATACATGTTACGAAACTGTGTTGAATTTCAAATAAATTTAACAACGAGAAATCGAATCTAACCCGTGGCTGAAATGGAATGGATGAGGTTTGCGTGTGTCATGCGAGTGTCGTGCGAGTGTTAAATACGCGTATAAATATGTTTCGTTATTGTTTATTGTAACAACCTGTACTCCTCTCGGTACACGTGGAAGGCATCGTGGAATAGGTAAGAGAAACACGTAAACTTGGCGATTGTTCATCGATTAATACGACATAATACATAAACGATTACGAATAAGTAGAGACACCTCTCTAACCGAGTGTTTTTGGTGATCTTTTGTTGCAGCGTGCACGAGAATGCAGACCATTATTAGGACGTGGTGTAAAGGAAGCATTCGGGGGGAGCCAAAGATGCGTTTATAATTTTTTTAGGGATACTTCTTCGCGCGAAAAGTGGAGACAGATTAAAAAACGACGAGAACTCTTGAAGCCTTTTTTCATCGAGAAAACGAAAGAAAAACACAAAATAATATCACACGCTTGGCGTTTCTCCTTGAATAAAAAAAAAAAAAAAAAAAAAAAAAAAAAAAAAAAGAAGAAGAAGGAAAGAAGAAAGAAAAAGCAAGAAAATGTCCTAAACGAATATCGATAGAAGCAAAGAACAAGGAGAAACGGTCTATATTCTACGAACTTTTTCCATTTGATTCTGCGGACCTATGGGTAAAATACGCTCGCCTGTCTGCTTTCACGAGCCGAGAAACTTGGAATTGGCATTCGAGGAGCAGCCTCCTCGGGCAAGAAAGGCCAAAGAACAGCACTATTTCTACGCCTGAGATCGTTCCCGATCTTATGCATTTTTTTCTTTTTCTTTTTTTTTTTTTTTTTTTTTTTTTTTTTTTTTTTTTTTTTTTTTTTTTTTTTTTTTTTAGTTATTTTTTCCAATCATTTTGTATCGCGTGCTTTTCTCCACGGCTCTGTACGAGCTTTGATACGATCATGTTTTCTTCTTTTATTTCCCATTCGTTTTACTTCCCTTTTTGTTTTAATCCCATAGAGATCACTATCGAAGCGCACACGTTCTCTGTACCCTTTGTTCTTGGCTGTTTTGCTGCAGAAACTTTAACAAAATACAATAAGGAAATACTTTCATTCTCTCTTTTTCTTTTTTTCTTTCTTTTTTCTTAAGAAGATTCACGAAAGGAACGTACGAACTTTTACAAGATCGATCGTGGTTTCTGACAGCAAAAGATCGATAAGCTTAAAGATCAGTGGAAAATGTAGCGGTAAGATCGAAGGAAGGGAGAGGATCGTCGAGTAAATGAAACACAGAGAGCAACGACGAGAGAACCGAAATCGATGAAATTATTATAATACGCGAAACTTTTTGTATATAACACGTCAAACGAAAAAGAAAGAAAGAAAAAAAAAAAAAAAAAAAAAAAAAAAAAAAAGAAAAAAGCTAGGAGAAAAGAAATCGTTAACGATATCATTTCCCTTTCCTCAATCGCCACCCATCACACACCTACCGTCTACTGCTGCATTACGATATTCTTAATTATGATTAACCTACCGCACGATTCAGAAGAGTAATTTTGCATTGATCGCATCCCTCTCCATCTCATAGATCGAGCATGTAACGGGTGTACGCAATCTTTTTTCTGCGGTATAACTGTTAAGCGTGTAAGAATTCTAATAATAGAGTGATAAGCTAAACTATTAGAGGGGCAACTCCATTGGGAAATATCGCTATATAGTACGAGATGTTGAATCAAAAGAAACTTGCAACGAAGTCTGACGATGCTGCGTCTTAGAAAGTAATAGATAACGCGTTTAAACGGGACAGAAAGCAACTTGGAGAACATTAAATTTTAAGAACTGCGAACGCATTATAACATGTATATTATATTACGTACACGTCACCCACTGAGGCGTACAAAAGTATCTTTGTATCTTACGATCATCGGTGAGGAGACGAAGACGAAGACGGAGAAGAAGAGGAAGAAAAGAAGAAGAAGGAGAAGAAACAGCAATGAAACGAGGAAAAGATATTATTCCATATACCATGGATGCAACGTTTAAAGTAAAGGTTTAACAAACATCGAATATCCGATTCGAACATCCCAAAGGGAACACCGTGATGATTTATTCGCACAGCGCGCGTCCGATGCAGAGTCTTGCAGAAAACAATGTAACGAAATTACCTTGTAAATTAACGCAAACCCGATGTTACCCCTTTTTCGCACCGCCCACGACTCCTGCAATTTCATCTTGTTTCCTCTGAGACTTTTATATGTTGTAACAGCGAACGGAACACGGGTGTTCTCTTTCCGGGGGTGCAGCTCGAACCAGCGCGCGAATTTTAGAGACAGATTTATCGCAGATGAGACAGAAGTGGGAAGAATGATAAGAAGTCGAAAAGCCGCCCTCAAGTTAGATCGAACTCGTCCCCTTTCCCTTCCTCGAACGGAGACTCTCAGCACCCTTACCCTCTCTCTCCTTCATTCCCTGATAGAGTATACCTATAGCCTCGTAACGAACCGGAAATAGAAGAAAAGCAGCGGAATCCCGACCCACACAGGGTTTCGATGACGCTACAAAGGGCATTTTTTTTAACGCATCTCCGACCCCCTTTTTTCGACGGTCCACCTAACTAACCCCCCCACGGCGTCGTGTTTAACTCGAAGATCAAAAAGGAAAAAAAAGGATAAAAAAAGCAAGAAAAACACAGAAAAAAATATCGAAAAAGGGAATCTTTTACGTCCGCGTGATCTCGAACAGAGAAGCGCGTGCATTTTCGTTCGACTCACGATTGATTGTACCGTCTTTTTCGTGGTGTCGGGGCAAATGAGAAATGTTCCAGTGGCAGGCTTCTCTTCCGGTTGCCACAGTGAATTCGTTCCCGTTGATTTTCATTTTGTATTCTCTCCGTTTCTCTCCGCTATATCCGACCTATCGATGCGACGTTGTATTTACCCCTATCGTGATTGAATTTTGGTGTTCCGGGTCGAATTACGATTTTTCTTTCTTCTTTCCTACCCCCCCTCTGTGCATTTGCCTCGAAGCGTCGAATTCTTTCCTGCGTACCACGCAATTTTCCAATTTTTATACTCTACTTTTTTTTTTTTAATCTTTCCACAATCGTGGGTTGGAAGCATGATCAACGCGAAACGAGAAATTCGCTTTTCCGCGTCGAGCATAACGAAGACTCGACGACGGCAGCTTGGGAAGAGAAGCAGGGTATTTTCCGATTACCCCGAGACCGACTTACGTAATAAGGATTACACGAGAAACAGGCAACAAAACAGAGAGACATACATAAATACATATACATACATACATGCATATACATACACACACGAAATGCGTGAGAGGGAGAGAAACTGGTGCGTTTTAGCGTGTGTGTGTGTGTGTTTGTGTGTGCGTGCCGAGGGAAGACACGTTGGAAGAAAGTTTGCAATTGTGATCAATGAAGGGTTGAACAAAGTTGAGACAGAGAGAGAGAGAGAGAGAGAAAGAGAGGGAGAGAGTGGTGTGTGTACAATTAAGATGAAAATATATGCATGAAAGAGTGAGAAAGAATGAGAAAGAGAGAGAGAGAGAGAGAGTCGTAATCTCGCTCGTATCACGATGTGTGTATTATATAAGATATACAGTTTACAATTATTTGTAATGGATACTTTTTATGGAATGCCTCATTTCTCTTCGTTTCGCGCTAGTGGTGTTCCGTTTTCCTGGCTATGGAAACTATGGAAACTCGACCGGATTCGTCGGCCGGAAACGGCGTTGAAAGTTTCACACTGAGATTTAAGGTTCGTCGCTTTTTCCCGTTCTTTGGCATATTGCACGTTTGATTCAGAGTCGACGAGGATTCTAGACAGAGAAGACGCTCTATTTTTAACGCTATCGTTTCCTCTTAAACGACTCTACTAAAGGGACGAGCCACGTCCACAACGGAGCAAAGAAATCCTTTCCCATCGGTATCACAGACGACAGTGTATATTTTAATCAGCATCGAACAGACAATTTCTATCAAACGGAAACGTAGTCGGTGAAAAAGAATTCGTGCGAACGCGCGTTACCATGGAATCGATTAGGCTATTCTTTCTCCCATGCAGTTACAGGTCTAACTCTTTACGACGAGCACTTTGCTACGGGGTACGCCTCGGACTTAAGTCTAATCTTTGGTTCGACGAAACACCTGGATCGATCGTTCCGCGTCATTCGCAACAGCCACGGAAGAAAGAAAATAATTATAATAATAATACAAAGTTTTATCACATCCACGTATATTCTTTTTGCTTCGGTATTATACAGTTCTTCATTGGCTTTCTCTTAACGCGTGCGAGCACAAAGAGAGAGAATAGTGGAAATAGCGGCAGGTATAACGTCATTTCACATCGACCACCTAAACGTCTGTTAGGGTTCTTCGCTCAGATAATTAGTAGTACGCTCAAACGCTCGTATCTCATCGCACAATCAAATGCATACGTTCCCCTAAGGTTCGCACAGAAAGACTATACATCGTTCTTTACGTTGCTTTTTAGTTTCATTCGAATATCTACCTGGATTTTCCTATTCGGACACGAAGGTATGGACTGAGAAAATTCTCACAAAACGCGGGTTTCATTTATAGAAAGAAGGACAGATTAACCCTTTGCACTCCTATGTCGAGTTACCCATTCGATTCTTTATTTACCAATCAAGGAAACAGAAAATAAATAACTCGAATTATTTAAATAATATTTGAGAACCATATTTAATATAATCAGTACACGAAATTCTTTAAAATCAGTAGCAGTCCAGGAACTGTCAAAATATTAAAAACAGTAGTTAGAGTTATTGGCACCGAGATTGAAAAATAATTCGGGGTGCAGAGGGTTAATCGGACGCGATCTATCGAATTTCTATTCGAATTTCGATAAAATTATAGTACAAGGTATTCCTCGATACGAAAATTACGAGCATTTAAATGCGATAAATGTATTTTCACTCCCACGAAGAAGATCGATGCAGTCCATTTTGCCTCGAATTAGGAAAGATAAGTGTATCCCGGTTGAAAGTTGGACGAAGTGGTCGTAGAAGACGAGGAGATGGGACCTGCTGATACGAGAACCGTGAGCGTTGGAGTGTCCCGCACGGCATCGATCGCATTTCCCGAAACGCTTTGTCCTCTTCAACAATTCTGATCGTGCTCGTGCTGATGGAAAGTGTCACGGTAAAGCGAGCTGGGCGTGCGATGCATCATCGTCACGTAGGAGCTTCCTGAGGCCGGCGTGGCCGTCGGATTCGGTGTCGGCGTCAACAACGGGGTACCCTGAAGACTAATGACCAGTGGTAGCGCGGTCGGGGTGCAGAGGTTCATCGCGTTGCGTCCACCTTCCGTCACCGAGCGATATCTCGTCGGCCTTGCTGACCTAGAAAACGTTTTCCCTGTAGGTACACGCATCAAGGAAGAATAATAACACCGCGGAACACCGCGGTGAATCGCGTGTTTCCCCCGATTTCTCTTTTTCCCACAATCGTGGTCACGGAGGTGCTATGGGACTCGATGGCCGGAAGCCTCGGTCCCGTGCCTCTCGCTACAGCTTTCTTCGTACATTCGCGACAAACAACAGATTTGCAACAAACGAGTAGATTAGCGGAGTAGACTCCTCTCCTCTCTTTCTCTCTCTATACCTAGCGAGACAGGAGTCTCAGCGGGGAATAACGCGAAACAACGAGCAAAGAGCGGCCAATGGAATTTCAGGAAACGACGCGAGGTTATTAATTGCAGCTTCTTGGAAACGTATCAGAAGACACCATGAAAGAACGGATCAATTTTTCGCTGAGATCTCTCACCACCTCCTTGACCAGAAAATACCAAAGGATATAATAAATCAACGACTTCGCGAATCCCTGCTATTCTCGTCGAATACAACGTTATATGCATCGTTACGTTTAACCCTTTGCACTCGAGAGGCCCCGCTCATTCGCCATTTCATCAGATTCTAAAGATGGATGTTAATTAATATATCAAATTTACAATTACCCAACGATGCGTGGAATATCGAAGTAAAATAATTCTACATCTTAATTTGCATACGATTTCTTATTTACCGTTCTAGAAATATCGTCGACTTTATATGGCAGAAAGTCTTCGAATTACTATTTTCGTGAAACGAAAAAATCGCCGAGTGCAAAGGGTTAATAAGGATCAAGTCTACCACTGCCACTCACCTGGAGCACTTGCACTTCAACAACCTGATGAACGCGGCCCGGAACGTCCTATTGAAGATCGTGTAGATGACAGGGTTGATCGTGGAGGACACGTAGCCGAGCCAGAGACAAGTGTCCACCACGTGTACCGGGACAGGACACTCGGGGCAGGCAGCGAAGAAGATGTTGAGGAGGAAGAACGGTGCCCAGCAGAGGACGAAGGTGAAGAAGACCAGGCCCAGCACCTTGCTGGCCTTCTGCTCCGTGGCCACGGCGTTCGCTGCCAGCGACCTCCTCTTCGTCCTTCCCGCGAGGAACCTGCGAGCACCGACACTCGCGTTTGCATTCGAAAGTCGAGAAGCGACTCGCATCGACCGCCATTTGCATGTGCAAATGGCTTTTCCTGCTCGAGGGTCGATCCTCTCGCGTCTCCCGCAGGATTGCCCCGCGTTCACTCGCGATCCCGTGTCAGGGATTTCGAGAAACGAGCAATCTCCGCGAGCCAGCGGCGTCAATCTCGAGATTAGCGAAGTTCGAGCTTGAACCAACGGGATAACCGATTTCTCGTTGCAGGGTGCTGCTTTGGGACGCGTTGATTCTCGTTTAAGCGTAAGGTGGAGACTCGGAACGGAGACGAATCGGGAGACCAAACGCTGTGCACGTGTCTGGGAAGTTAGTTGTCCCAGGAATGCGGGTCTGATTGAACGCAACGCGATAAGTTCGGGTTCTCCAACACAGATATAGATCACAGAGATAGGTCACGTTTACGAGTAGGATTGTATCGTGTATCGCGACAGAGGGATCGAAGAGGATAGAACAACGATGGAACATTGGTGTATCTACAGAGATAGAGGCAAGATTATTAATTATTTAACTTCGATTGAAAAGAGCG